AGTGACTACTTGGATGTATTTCTAAGGCCAGATTGCGACCAGATACGAAAACATATCGTGGATATTCAAAAGCTTGGTCAGACAGCGGATTCCTGGTTGGAAATATCTACGAACAATGAAATTGAACGTCTTGGATCTGAGCAGGATGAACTTGAAGACACAATGCCGCTTAGGGAAAAATTAAAAATTGAAATACAAAAGAAACTTCAAGCTCTGGATAGTACTTCCAGACCAACGGATGGAGACATTGATAGATTGGTAAAAATAGAAATTTAAATGCCTTTAATTGAGAATGGCGGTTCAAGAGTAAAATATCTAGAAATTGCGTATGATAGTCTAAGGTCTATTCCTCCGACCAGTGTGGAGTCAGAGCGGGTGTTCTCTTCATCAGGTTACTTTTGTAACCATTTGCGGTCAAAGTTAAGTGACCAAACATTACGCTTTGTCATTGATTGTTACGATCTCATTATTTAAATTTGACAAAAGCTTAAAACAACACCAATTATTTTAATATTTGATTAATAAAACTATTTAAATTAAAAGGTAAGAATATTATGTTTGTTCGTTTGATTAAAGTCTGAAGATAAACGTGTGTTTAAAAGCTTATTAAAAATCAAAATGTGATTTTTTTTTTCTAAGTGTTTTTATTTTCATTGATAAATCCTTACCTCTAATCTCGAATCACGACTAAAAACTCTCCAAATATCGAAAATATCGAAAATACCGGGATTCCGGTATTTGTAAAATTCAATATCGAAAATACCGGTTTTGGCAAAAGGGATCGGTTTTGCGACCCCTAGATCTAGTCCATCAATTCACTATTGCTGTTACTTTAACATGATCCAGTCCATCAATTCACTAGTGTTGTTATTTTAATGTGATCCAGTACATCAGCACATTTGTAAACTGATCATGCCCAACTTTTTTTTAAAATGTTTTCTGTTGCTTATAATTAATTTAATTCAAGAGGTCTGAAATGTAAGACTGTGAATCAGAAAAGGAGGCCTAAACAAACCGCTTATTAAAAGCATGTAAAAGTGGGGGTGGGGGTGGCGCGTGGCACATCCTCCGTGTCCAAGAGACAAAGAGTCTCTGAAGCTAACGAGAGAAGCACCAATGTGTATGAGTTTACGTACAATAACATCTTTTATTCAAAAACTGTAGTGGTTTTTTTTTCCTACCTTTTCTTATATTTTTTTTTACAACCGCAGTAAATAAAAAGGTCAAGGACAAACCTTTAGGAGCACTGAAGGTCACCGTCAGCTCTGTTGTCAGCATTGCATTCTTCGACAATCCAGCGCGTTCAATGATAGATTCATCAGACATGTTGCTAGGGATGAAAGGATGGTAGAAAAGCGCGGTCACTTTTATGTAAACTTTTGAGCGAGAGAGAGAGAGAGAGAGAGAGAGAGAGAGAGTCATTTAGGATTTGATTCCTTTTCCTTACACATTGGGCTTGTCAGTGCGTAGTGTGAAGCTAAACTGGAAAAGGGTATTATATGCTTTTTATGATCTTGATGTTAACTATCTTACACTAAGCCTAAAAATCTTGACACGCAATGCTAAAAGTCAGGCCAAGGGCAAGGTGATTTCCAGCTTTTGTAATACAAGTTACATGAGTTTTGCAACATTCACATTGTTCCTATTCCTAAACAATAGGCCTTATATCAGAGTTTCCATATATTCTTATATGACCATAATTTAGGGACTTTCGGCTTTGTTATATGACTCAAAACCATGTGAAATTGGAGGGGGTCATGTGAAATTGGAGGGGGTCAAGTGAAATTGAGTAGGGTCATGTGAAAACTCTTCATTTTCTATTCAAATTGCATTTCAGATCTAACTACCTGCCTGGGCGTAGCTTTGGTTTACTACGGCCCTGCCTGTGTGTAGCTTTGGTTTACTACGGCCCTGCATGGGTGTAGCGTTGGTTTACTAAGGCCATGCCTGGGTGTAGCTTTGGTTTACTATGGCCCTGCATGGGTGTAGCGTTGGTTTACTACGGCCATGCCTGGCTGTAGCTTTGGTATACTACGGCCCTTTCTAGGTGTAGCTTTGGTATACTACGGCCCTTTCTAGGTGTAGCTTTGGTTTACTACGGCCCTTTCTGGGTGTAGCTTTGGTTTACTACGAACCTGTCTGGGCGTAGCTTTGGCTTACCAAGGTCCTGCTCTAAACAGTATGAGAGTCTAAATTATACACTTGTTTCCCTTTCTAATATTGTGTTAATTTCCGCAGCTTAAGTTGCTCAACACATTTTTGTGCTCACCCTGAGTCTGCTGAAGAACAACCGTCGCATTGTTTAAAATAGAGCTGGACGAACCATAATAGTTGAGCACCCCTTTGATTATTTAAGCGCTCCTTTGATTATTTAAGCACTCCTTTGATTATTTAAGCACTCCTTTGATTATGTAAGCACTCCTTTGATTATTTAAGCACCCCTTTGATTATTTAAGCACTCCTTTGATTATTTAAGCACCCCTTTGATTATTTAAGCACCCCTTTGATTATTTAAGCACCCCTTTGATTATTTAAGCACCCCTTTGATTATTTAAGCACCCCTTTGATTATTTAAGCACCCCTTTGATTATTTAAGCACTCCTTTGATTATTTAAGCACTCCTTTGATTATTTAAGCACTCCTTTGATTATTTAAGCACTCCTTTGATTATTTAAGCACTCCTTTGATTATTTAAGCACTCCTTTGATTATTTAAGCACCCCTTTGATTATTTAAGCACCCCTTTGATTATTTAAGCACCCCTTTGATTATTTAAGCACTCCTTTGATTATTTAAGCACTCATTTGATTATTTAAGCACCCCTTTGATTATTTAAGCACCCCTTTGATTATTTAAGCACCCCTTTGATTATTTAAGCACCCCTTTGATTATTTAAGCACTCCTTTGATTATTTAAGCACCCCTTTGATTATTTAAGCACCCCTTTGATTATTTAAGCACTCCTTTGATTATTTAAGCACTCCTTTGATTATTTAAGCACTCCTTTGATTATATAAGCACTCCTTTGATTATTTAAGCCCCCCTTTGATTATTTGAGCACTCCTTTGATTATTTAAGCACCGCTTTGATTATTTAAGCACCCCTTTGATTATTTAAGCACCCCTTTGATTATTTAAACACCCCTTTGATTATTTAAGCACTTTGATTATTTTAAGCACCCCTTTGATTATTTAAGCACTCCTTTGATTATTTAAGCACCCCTTTGATTATTTAAGCACCCCTTTGATTATTTAAGCACTCCTTTAATTATTTAAGCACCCCTTTGATTATTTAAGCACTCCTTTGATTATTTAAGCACCCCTTTGATTATTTAAGCACTCCTTTGATTATTTAAGCACCCCTTTGATTATTTAAGCACTCTTTTGATTATTTAAGCACCCCTTTGATTATTTAAGCACTCCTTTGATTATTTAAGCACTCCTTTGATTATTTAAGCACTCCTTTGATTATTAAAGCACCCCTTTGATTATTTAAGCACTCCTTTGATTATTTAAGCACCCCTTTGATTATTTAAGCACCCCTTTGATTATTTAAGCACTCCTTTGATTATTTAAGCACCCCTTTGATTATTTAAGCACTCCTTTGATTATTTAAGCACTCCTTTGATTATTTAAGCACTCCTTTGATTATTTAAGCACTCTTTTGAAAATAGCACTTGGAATTTGTTTACCGTAAATTGAAGCACCTCGGCCAAGGGGGGTTGGCCTTGAAGCAAATAAGTGTGTACTGATGTCCAAACCACCCGTGCTTTACGTCTGACAATCTGCTCATCATTTGGTCAGAGCCTTAGAGATGATGAAAGTGAAAAAAACGATGCGATGAGATCTCAATGGGCTTTAAGAAATCCCGTTTCGTAAATAACTTAATTTGTGTATAAAGTGAATATTTTTATATACCATCTATTCTCTAATGTGACTTGAGGTTTATTAAAGATAAATACTTCTGAGACTTTGTCCCTTTTTTAATTAAAAACATTTAAACATTAACAACGCCATCAGTGGCTCTCAGCCTGTAACATCAGTGGCTCTCTGGTTGTGACATCAATGGCTCTCAGCTTGTGACATCAGTGGCTCTCCGCCCGTGACATCAGTGGCTCTCCGCCCATTACATCAATGGCTCTCAGCCCGTGACATCAGCGGCTATCAGCCCGTGACATCAATGGCTCTCCGCTTGTGACATCAATGGCTCTCAGCCCGTGACATCAATGGCGGCAGCATCACTATTTTATTTTATTTAAATTATTTTTTTTTAAGCTACGGGTAAGAATAGTAAGATCTGTTGAACTTGCTTGCTACTGTATTTTCTGACTTACTTTGTAGGAAGGACGCTACCAAAACTAAGGCGAATAACGGTGATTTCCACAGAGTCGTAATGGGCTCTTTATTGTGTGCCATCCACATGGTCCCTAGGATGCTAGGATGGACCACAGAATTCATCAAAACCCATCAAAGGTAAATAATTCTTGTCGAGTTTCTATTAAAATTTGTGAAACGAAATACATTACAACGCGGCCGAGTTAAGATACAGAATTAAAAGACAACGAAATGTGGTGAAGTTTTACTAAAAGTAAAAGCAGGAGAGTTTTATCCTGCCTCATCATACTTTGTGATCTGATCATTCCTGAAGATATTAATTACCAAGGTCAGTGGTAAATGGTGAAGAATATAGTGCGGCAGCCTAAGATTGCATTCGATGCGCAAAATGATGCGTTTTAAAAATCGTTTTAGCTCAAATTTTATTTTGGTAGTTTTTAATGATTTCTTTTAAAATTTCGCTTAAAAATATATATTTATATTTTACAAAATACATGTACTATAAATATAATTGTTGTGATTGAAATTCTTCTCGGAATTTGATCTTTGTATAATATTTAATATGATGCAAAATGATTTTATTTTCCAACTTTCTGTTAACTCTGCAGTGTTACTGTCAATTTGATTTTACCAATGTTGATAGTTTCTATCTTAAATTTGTATAAGTCACAGGATCTGAAAGCGGAAGTAAACAACTTCGCAATAATAATAAATCGAAACACTAATAAGAAATAGTTTTATTTGCTGCTAAACCTAGAGCTTTCATTTCTGACCACTTTTAACCACAAATTACCATAATGCTGCAAAGACGGCAGATAAACGTACAAAAGCAAAACTTAGCTGCTATGTGCAGGTAAAGCATTCACTAACAACTGTAACTTTATTATTTACTCAGTAATATTAACGTATTTGCCCTAGTATTTATAATTTATAGTATAGTAGTATAGAGGCCCTGGCTTTTATTATATATTTATAGATTATAGGCTAACTTACAAATTACACTTTCACTTACAATGATTGTGACTTTACTGTTTTTACTAAGTAGTGTACTGCACAAACTCAGACTTATCACGATTAATTTAAACTGAATGTAATGTAAATTGAAAATCAATCCAATCCCGAATCCAACTACACTTTATTAAGCAAGCTTACTACTTTCATGCTTGTTTTTTTTATGTCTTTTCTCAGTCTGCTGTTTTATCTGAACGTGTAGGCTATACTATAATTATAACTAAAGTACTGTATTTAGGGACTTCGGTATAGCCCGAAAATACTCAAAAATTTGGTATTGCAATTTTGATGTCAAAATTCCTATACTAGCGACCACCACTTTTTAATATATATACTGAGTAATATACTGACTGAGGGTATTCTGTTTTGCCTTTTATTAGGGACCTCGGTATCGACTGGAAATACCCGAAAAACGGGTATTGTAATTTCGTTGTCATAATGGTGACCTCCAATTTTTAATTTACTGAGGGTATCGTTGTTTCGCTTTTTATAATAGATTTTTAGCATAATAATAACATTCTACTTCCGACAATTACTTAAAGCCGACATCTTTCCTGTTATATTAAGAGTTCGTTTGATTTCTTTTGTCAAGGTTAAAGCTTTGAAAATTGAAGTCAAAAATAGGTCAACTTTACACATCAATAACTTTTTTTTTTAATGCGCTCCTTAATAAAAATACTCCGCTCTTATAGTTTATAGGTTCATTTACAACATATCCAAAATTCATGTGTGTAGACCATGGGTAGGCTTCAAAAACAAATTTCCAAGATGTCATTTTTTTAGGCTATGTAATTTTTCATCATGGCCACTGTGCTTGTCTGCTTATTTCCAATTATCGATAGCAGCCGTGGGGTAATTAATAATTCATTAAGTTGGCTATCCAGAGTGTAAATGGGAAATATAACTAATAATAAATAATTTTACATAAATAAAAAATGTTTTATAACATAAATAATTATTATTGGCTTATTAAATATCAGTGATTTTAATTTTCGGGTTGGTTGCCATGGACCTGGCTGACATTGACATGGCTATGGGATTGATAAGCTCTTGTCTTTGACTTAGATAGGCTTACTAAAAGTGTTATAATAATAATTATGCTATTATAAATTATTTAAGGAGTGGGATAAATAGCTTTTTTACAACTAATATATTTATAATTTATATTAGTTTATATATTTATAGATAAATATTTATTTGTATTTGTATTTGTATATATATATAGATATAGATATAGATATAGATATATATTTATATATAGATATAGATATATATATATATATATATATGTAGATATAGATAGATATATATATAATGGCTATAGGCCTTGTATACATATAGTATAATACAAAGTATACTATATTAGGGTTAAGGCCTAGACCCAACCCAACTTATTTGTAGGGCCTATTATAATAAATTATATTAAATGATATTTTAGGATATGTAATAAAATTTTAATGAATATTGTGATTCTTAATTAAGGCATAAACTAAGTAAAAAATGTTAAAATATTCACTTACCTTTGGTATTGAACTATCCTATATCTAATCACATATCACAATATTCCAAAAGAGAATTATTATATATAATCCTCAATTTCTCAAAGAAAAAAACACACTTTCTGGCACAATAATCCAATAATTGCTTTAGATATTATTACTAAAGAACAATCATAAAAAAATTGAACTTACCTCAAGTAAATGACTAGAACTTATTTTGTTTAACAGCTAAAGTCAAAGTTGATTCTAACAATACATGTTGATTTGTAAAACAAGATTAAAAACTTAAAATAAATGACATGCTGATTGTTTTGTCATACTCGCATAGGAATAATATAATATATAATATACATATGTAGAAAATGGTAAAATAAAAAGTGTAATAGTCAATTTTAAATAAATAAAACAAATAATCCCTTTATTATTTGTTTATGCTTATAAATGCTAAACAATTCTACAGAAAATCTGAAATTAATATCTAAAGAATATTATTATTATTATGATTTTTGGGAAATAAAAAGCAAAATTAAAACAAATTTTAATTAATTATTACAAATAAGTGATGAGTCAGCATTTTATTACATTTTTTTTAAAAATAGGAAAATAATAAAGTTGTTTTTTTAATATTTGCGGCACATTAACAAAAATTAACGTACATTTTGTGGCTTTAATTAGAAGTACTCTTATTTAATTATTTTCCCTGTAAATATTATATTTTTGTCTCATTTTATAATAAAGTTATAGGCGTTAAAAAAAAGGAAAATGAGTGTCACAAAATGTGGAGTAAAATCCCATTGTAAAAAAAGTGGTTTTGTGGTCCCTACTAAAAAATTCATAACTTTTGAACCTCTTGAGCTAGAAAGTTTATCTTGGTGTTTTTGTAATCTACTCTCCTGGCTCTAGGCAGCTGTAGTATTTGTATATTTTTAAAAATGTTTCGAAATTTTCATCAAATTGGCTACCTTTTATTGTTGATTATTGGCGTAATAATAAATTCTTCATCAAAACATTTTCCAGTTACCTAAAGTAATTTAAAGCCGAAATTTTTCTTGCTCAATTGAGAATTTATTTGAATTTCTTTTGAGGTTAAAGTTAAAGCTTAGAAAATTAAATTAGATAAACTTTACTGATCAATAACTTTTTTTTAAAACAACTGGGTAAAAATTTTAAAAAGCGTCCTTAAATTTATTGTTTCATTTATAACATATCCAAAATTCATGAGTGTAGACCACAAGCAGGGGTAAAAATCTAAGAAGACACATATTTTGGCTATCCTCACTAATCGTCACTATGTTATGTAATTTGTCATCAAGGCATCATGGGCCATGGCAACCATGGTTGTCAGTATATTATCTAATGGTGGCTGTGTGGTAGTTAATACAGCCAGTGCTCGACTTACGACCACAGTCGGTTCCGACAGACTGGTCGTAACACGATTTGGTCGTAAGTTGAGTACGCTATGTGTACAGTAATTTTATGTGAAGTGATGTTATAATAATATTTAAGTTAAATTCTATCATAAATTTCTTTTATTATTGTTATAAATCATAATTTTTGAAGGCAGATGGGAGTTAAAATATTCAAACTCTGAAGAGCTCTCCAATCAACAAGCTTTAACCGGGCTTGGAGAAGTCAATGCACCTAGGGTTATTGAGTGTGACCGTGTTGTTTCGTAGAAATTGATGACGCTGGCTAGCAGCATAGCATCATCATAGCGTCATCTTATCTTAGTTAACGACCGCCAATGATTGCAGACGCTGTTCAACTGATAATTGAGGCAGAAATAAATCTGAAATCTAATATTGCTTGTAATTGTGTTAGTAAAGTCCAATGGTCGTAAGTTGCACTGGCTGTACTTCATTAAATTGGTCATCAAGAATATCAATGGAAAATATAACTAATAAAATCATTTTTTTTAAATTAAAAATATTTCATTACATAATTAATGATCATAAATAATTATTATTGGCTAATCAATTATCAGTGAATAGAGATGGGATTGATAACCCCTTGTCATTGACTTAGATAGGCCTAGTAAAGGTTTTATAATAGTAATAATACTATATCTTATACATATATATATGTATTGCTTCTGGTGTGTGCTGCTTCCTCTTCAAAGCCACGTTTCCCCCAATTCCACATGTTTAATATCAGAAGAACCGAGTGAAAATTAGTAGTTTAATGCCTCAAATGACTGCAAACAACATCAAAATTTTGCCTGAACTCATTGAACCAAAAATAAGGATAAATTTATGCTGCTTAAAATTTTAAAATTTCATGAGTGGCCTTACTCCTTGATTTTATCAGTGTAAGAATCACTGATTTTGGTTTTTTTCTTTTTTATAAAAACAAATAATTTATTGCTTTTTTGTTGCAACACCACACCAAATTTTAGCTTTTTATCTTTTAGATTAAATAAGTTATTGTTATTTTTCACTCTAAAAATAGAGTTTATTGAATTTATATTATATAAGAAAAAATAGTATCTTACCTTTAAAATATTTATTTAAAAAAGAAAATGCTATTTTAAAGCTTTCTTTATACTTTCATTTGTTAATATATAATATTATCAACAAATCATGTAAATATGACATTTTATGTAGTGAAAAATTATGCAAGAAATATGGGTGAAAGGGAAGAGCTGAATAATGGGTGACAAAATGTGAAGAAGAACTCAATGGTATAAAAAGTGACTTGAGGTCTGTACTAAAAATTGCATAACTATTGAACCACTTGAGCTAGAAAGTGGATTTTTTTGTTTTTGTAAATGATTCAATCCGCACATGTATTCTTTTTGTTCCCAAGACACGCACTAAAACAGAAGCTCTGTCAGTCTGTTTGTCAGGACAAGGCCCCCTTATTTGTACCATTCAACAAGGATTGAATCTTGTCCTGGGTTGTTTTTTTTTTAGGAAAGTTGCTGGATTGTTCTCCCGGCTTCATCTTCATTGGGACTATTTTCTAGCTCTTGGTTGATCTCCACACGTGTGGTAAATGAGCGATGGCATTATTGTTTGTAGCAGTCGGACAGTTAAGGACTTGACAAAAGTGTTCGGTAAATCTTTCTAAAATCTGACTCTTGTCTGTCAGTAGCTGGGTTCCACCTTTGTTAGCTTAGCCCTGAATTTCATCAGCCTTCTTCCTGAGTCATGAGTCATGCGTTTCACAAATTTTCTTTTTAACTTGCTGTTGTTGTGTATTTTTTGTTGCTGAGAGCATCTTTATTTACCTGTGAAGCAGGGTTGTTCTGATAAGATCTCAGCACCTGAGGTTTATTGTTTAGCAGTGACTGCATTTCATTATCATTTTCATCTAACCAATCTTTATTTCTACGCGTTGTCAGGCTTAACCTAAAGTAAACACAAGTAAGTCAACTTGTTACAAAGTCACTTTAAAACATTATATTGTAATAATAGTAAAATAGTATTTCAACATCATACGCTATTTAGTATGAATAAAGTATCAAATTATTTATTAATTATTTATTGTTATACGTTTAAAAAAGTGTCAGTTTATTTCATTAATTTTATTAGGGATTTTGTTATTCAAATTCCGTCTTTCCGTACATTAACAGAACCATTGTAGAGATTTTTTAAATTTTTACCAACTATGCCAGGAAAATAATTTTTGTCATATACTTGTGGTCTATACAGAGACCTCCTACTTTGTTGAGTTTTTCATCTTAAAGAAAATGTCAGCATCTGGTTGACACCAAGTAATCAATAAAAATAGCCCTTTAAAAAATAAAAATTTGAAATTCCTTTTAAATTTTAAGTGTTATTACCTAATTATTGCTATATTGCTTTTATATACTTGCATTTTGTTAATCCTCCTTCTGACCACTGGTTAAAAACATTTTATTTACTACACTAAGATATGAACCTACTTCACAAACATTTTATGTTAAAGTTCAAACTAATTTTTCTCCTCCAAGATGCTAGAGCCAAAATGAACTTCATCATTGAATTTAATAAGACAACCTATTTTCCACTCAGTTTCATTTATCAAATTACAAAAACAAAACAAACTTTTTCAGGATATCTGTCAAGTCTCTGCTTGACTATGCCTGCCTGTATACTCATGTTGATGATGAATGTGAAGAATTTATCAATTTCTGTGCTGTTTTTGAGCAAATGGTTTCACATAGACTACGACGTATGTACCATACACATTTTCATCTTGAATTATTGTCTAAGCTTGAAATATTAAATTGAAAAGGTTATAATTATTGCAAATAAAGATAAAAAAATTCTCTGTAATTGTTTTTACTTACCTTCTTTTATTTATTGAATGGAACTTGTTCATGGATTGTGCCTTACAATTTTTAATGAATATAAATAAATAATAATATGGATTTTTTTTAAAAAAGAGGAAAATACTAGTTGGAAAAATATCTACTGTCGTCACTCCATTGCTACTAAAAGTGTGTTAAAATTGAGAGTAGATTTTGATTGGTGGTCTGTTGATACTAAATAGAATAACCTAATGATTAACATTAAATTTCAACTAGTGGTTTTAATTTTATGTGATGTGTAGACACTTTTTAAATACTTTTAAAATGTTTCCTTGTAATTATATTTTTTAATTGGCTTAAAACTTAAATATATTATGTAGTGCTGCAATTTTCTGATTTTAAAATGTTAATAAGAGTATTTACTTACAAGTTTAAAATTATTTTACTAGCACATCAAAAAAAGGTATGGATGCCTGGCCATGGGTCACCTCGACATTTCTGGGATGTCCTTTTAGAAAACCAACACAGCAATAGAGGGTTTGCTTTTAAAACTTGCATACCTAACATTGAAGCCATTGAAACCATCAAGTCACCCAAAGCTAAAGTAAGAGATTTTGTTTTATTTTTTTCTGAAATATGTCAAACCTTTCTTTGCAATTTTAAATGCTTAATTTTTTTTTTCTTCATTTGTTTTTAAGGTGAGACATATGGAGCACAAATAGTTATATTATGCTTGCGTCAATGTAATTAGTACTTAGATCAGAGAATGTTAATAAAAATTTGTTTAATCTATTTCAATCTATGGCTTTAGAAATGTAGTTATTTTCTAAAAAATTTTTAGAGTCAATAGATGTGCACATCTCTGTTACCATCAACAGATGGGAACAATTCTCTCGCAATCAAATATATATATATATATATTTTACAATTCTCTTTCACATAGCTCAGAGCATTTATCAGAGTTGCATTGATGGAGAAAAGACTGTCAGATTATCTCTTTTGGCTTCTGGATAATTCTAATCTCATCAGGTGAGAAAAGGGAAGTTGGATTCACTATCATATTATCTCTTCTAGCTCCTAATCCACTAGATACAATTTAAAAAAGGAAAGTCAACTAAAGGCATCCTTTTTTTTCTTTTATGCACATGCTTATCACTTTGCTATCTTTATAATTTTATCCTCTTCCATATAAAGATTTATTTTTTTTTAAGTTGTAATGTTTAAGAAAGAAAACTGAATTTTAATAAGAAGCAGTATTGTACTTATATAAGGGTTATTTATTTTTATTAGAGAAAGTTATCTTGATGGGGCCACAATGTCATCAGATGAAGCCACTGTCTTATGCGGAGATCTCATTGGACTCAACGCTATAGACTTTAAGTAAGTTGTCTTGCAACTTTAAGTAATTTGTCTATATGGAATTGATGCTACTTTCCCTTTAAGACACGTGCTTGTCAATAGCTTTGAAAGCTGAAACGTTTAATAGGATAAAAAAAAATTAGGTTTCAAGCTCACCTTGCCATCTGGATTAGTTCAGGTGTGTACATCAACGAAAAAACTTTACGAACTGCCATGAGATAGGTGTCCTATAGACTGTGCTGCATAACTTGGCTTGTTAAAAAAAAATTAGGTTTTAAAACATATTATTCAACAAAGATACATTGGAGCTGTTCATCTTTGAGACATGAATAGGATGCCCTATAACCCTGATGGCTCATCCAAATTTAATTTTAATTATTACTTATTTTTATGTTCTGAATTTATTCCGGTAGCTGTTGCTAAACTAGTAAAACAACAGCTATTTTCACATAGGCAGACAATTTTTTTATCCCACACCCAAGTTTTATGTCCTTCAACTTCCGTTCTTATGGTTTCTTAAGCCTCTTCCTCAAAAATATCTGTTACTTGGCTAATCTAATGTATTTTTTTTAAAAAGCTTTTGTCTCAAGGGAAATGAGAATGAATTGCTTGGTCCACTTGAAATCAGCTATGCCCCTTTCATCAAGTATAAACAAACGTAAGTTAACATAGTCTCCATTTAATATTGTAACTACTTATAAGCTTGTACAGTTATTTTGTCATCAGTTAACATGGTGAAGAACTAACAAGGCTGTGGAGATGTGCAACACAATTGATTGCTCTTCTTCACAATAGATCTTCACATACTAGTATAAAAACTTTTGTTTAATTTTGTATTCAGCCCATCAGTGATGCAATTAATTTATTTCTACAGGTCAGCCAGTCAGTGTAGTGATGAGATTGAGATGCAACGGCTCAGTGGCAAACTCTCTGACCTTGACATGCTTCCCGGAAATGCCCTGACAGAAAGAAATGTCAATGATATTCTACGACTTCAAGCTTTGGAGAAGGATTTTAAGAGCATTAAAGAACAAAAGGTCTTTTTAAAAAAAATGTTCTAAAATAATATTCCTTACATATTCTTTGTAATTCTGTTAGAACTGTATTAATTGAATTTTCTGTTTTGATGAAAGCCCATCACCGTCATTTACATTCTTAAAACACATCTTTGGCCAACTTATTTCAATTATAAATACTACTGTTTTGTGTCTACTGATAAATGTTTTAATGGTTAAGTTTGGTGTTTAGTTCTTTATTTCAGTTTTTCCACCATTTGTTAAAATTTTTTTAATCTGCATTTGTGTATTTTAGAGTTGGAAGAAAGTTTCAGGATGTTCTATTAGTCTATTTCCAATATCAGATGAACATTTTGGCAATTTATTTTTTTTGTTTATTTGTTGAGATTTCTTTACAAATATAGGTGGTTAGAGTATGAATGTCAAAGATGACTGAAAACTAATTATGTGGATATTTCTGTATCCAGGATTACCTGGAAGAACTTGTCAGACTTAGAGAGAGACAGATAGGAGAGTCCAACATGAAACTGGAAACTGTCAGGGTGGAAAGAGATCAAAGACAGAAAGGGTGGGAGATAGAACAAAAGGCAATGGATGCTTGCGTCCTTGAACTTCAGGCAGAAATGTAAGCAAATACTTATTACTTTTTTACTACAAAGAGCCTCGTATTAAAAGAGACCTGTAATTAATGTTGAACAGAAATGCCAAGGTTGAAAAGTTTATTTTATCTAAGACTGCAAGTTTGATTTATTTTATTTTTTTTTTATTTTCAGATCAAAACTACGAAAGCAGAATGAAAATTTAAAGACACAAGTGGCATCACTGAGACTGTACAAGGACAGAATGGAGATGAAAGAGGTGCCAATGATGGACATGGCCAGAGTCAGAGAGCGGGAAGCTGGAGATGACAAGCCGGATGTGCTGGTAGAAATGGACCATATTGAAGGGAGGTAATAAGATTGTCTATTTGTTAAATAAAGTTTGCAAGCTTTTGATGTAAATTATGGAAATGTTTGATGATCTCCTTGTTTATCTTTTTAACTATTTAACTGACTGTTTCAATTGTTGTAGCTGACAGTTTAATGCATTTGAACATTTTGTTGTTTACCGCGGTCAGAATTAAATAAAGATTGCACTCAATACTTACCTCAAGCAGCTGTTAAGTACAACCTGTTGCCCAGGACAGTTATGAACGCAACCCAGGACGGGTATGAACGCGGCCCAACAAAAGTTCGCAAACTTAGTCATTTTATGAGATTTGGGAATAGAGGTATTGAGGACGAATTTAATATCCCTGAAGTAATGGCCTCTTTTGTGTCATGAAAGGAACAACTAAATCAATATATTTATTTCAACGCTGTGAGAAATACGTTAAAGGGATTTTATTTGTGAGCATATCTGGTATAGCAAGTGATGGTGTCCTGTTGCTGATAGGTAAGGGAGATTGGCTTTTAAAATTAATAGAAGATGATGAATTCCAAAACCAACATGTGATGAAATATCCCTGCATAGTACACCAAGAAAATGTATGCTTTAAAGATAGATAAACATCCTGCAGTTTGTCATCAAGGCAGTAAATATGGTGCAGTGAACAACGAAACATATGCAGCCTTGCCTCTCAATTTGATACAGGAGTTTGAGAAGAGTTTTCAAGATCACCAGAAAAGTCATCAAACTTTTGGTAAATTTGCGTCTCCGTTTTCAGTCAATATTACCTGCCGATTTTCAAATGGAATCCATGGAGCTACAATCTGGCGTTCAACTTAAAGAAAAACCATGTGTCTTCACAAGGACTTCTGTAAGACGAATCTACCAAGAGAAAAACCCTTATTCCTGTCATCGCTGTTTGGAAGCAACCAAAATTTGTGAGCAGCTATTTTCAAGGATGAAACAAGAACAATAAAACTAGAACAAAAAAACTAGAACGAAAATATCTGATGAGCACCTTGAGAACTCACTTAGTATTTCTAGTACTTCCAACAAACAAAATATCAAAACATTAATGTCTCAAAAGCAACGCCAAATGTCTCACTACTTTCATGTTGCTGTCATGTCTACTTGGCTTTTGATTTTATAAATAAAAAATCCATTAATTAATGAAGTTCAAATCGCTAAAATAATTCTATGTTTTTAGCTCATCAGCTATAGTTTAGTATGATACATTTTTTTTTTTTTAAATTTCAAAGAATACTTTACTTATAAATAAAAAAAACTATTTGTTAAGAATTAAAAAGTGTTGCCTACTTGTCGTTTGGTAGTTCATTTCATATTTTTAATTTTATGCTAACACCAGGTTCAGCATGTTGAATGCTCCACATTTCAAGAAAGAAAGGTCCTTGATCCCGTCAGACAGAAGAAGTATTTTATCATCAGTATCCGATCATATTCGACAGAATGAGGATTCCCAGAGTATGATTCCACTCACTGGATCTCTGGCAGACGTCAATGTGGCTATGCTTGACTCCGGTTCAAAGGTTTCTATGTAGCAAGTACCCAAAATGACCCATCAGAATGGCTCAAATAAAATATTCTTTCCTGCAATACATAACACTGTTTTAACATTCAATATGTTTATTCTTATTGAATTTCTTAAGCTCTAGTGGAACAGGAAGGATTAATTTATTCCTATAAATGTTCTCCAGCAGGGAGAGATAAACAGTGGAACAGAGAGGGTTAAATCTGTCAGTGTGATTACAGGTGAGAGGTCTTAAAAACATGAGTTCTTCTAAAACTTTTTTAAGACCTTTAATTTAGATTTAATTGAGATGTTTCAAATAATAGAAAACTTTTTACTTGTTTAGCTTTAAAGAAAAATCATAAAGCACAATTTGCAGTCATCCAGCACAAATAATAAATGAATAAAAATTATTAAACAAAAATCATGCAATCGTCATACAAGGATGTAGTATAAAAATATTTTATCAGCCAAAACTCAAAACAGATCCAAAACTTGTCATGCATCCAGCTCTGGCCCATGCAAATGGCAGCAGAGACCATACAACTGTTATTTGGTCATTTAGTCAATCTGTTATTTGGTCATTTAGTCAATCTGTTATTTGGTCATTTAGTCAGTCTGTTATTTGGTCATTTAGTCAGTCTGTTATTTGGTGATTTAGTCAATCTGTTCTCTGGGCATTTGCTTGACGTTTCAGACTTTAATATAAAAAAAGCAACACTAAAACTCCACCAATGGTTTATACTATCTATTTGCTCATTACGGTTTTGCAAACAGAAGCGTTGTCCCAGCTAAATCAAACACCATAACAAGCTGTGTGGTGGTAAAAATCGGCAGCTAAAACGTTGCAGCAACAACATATTGCAGTGCAGCAAAAATAGCGCACACAAATCCATAACTTAAGACAAATCCTTATGGCAGTAAATTCTGAATGCATGTATCTTTTTCAGCAGGTGTCGGTGGCACAGTGGGAGCCAATGGCCCGGAAGATTGTGAACTAGAAAAGGAAGCGTTACCATCAGAGATTTCTAGTGCCAAAGACAAACCCACACTGCAAACTCAGGAAGTCAGTGGCCAAGAAATTTCAGTTTCCGTATTGATTGAAGGCACTGCTATTGCATACAATCCATTGCAGGGAGAAATGCCAGCTGCCAACCAGGCACAGCAAACAGAACTTGATTCCAACGCCAGTAAAAATTCCAACAGCATTGCTGTGGATTCATCTAAAGAAGTCAACAATGAGGCACAGATTCATGACGGATCGGGAAGTTGCGCCGAATCTGAGAGAACAGGGAGCGGTGCAGAGTCTGAAAGTGCAGGCAGCAGAGCGGAGTGTGAGAGGGATGACGAGGTCATTGCCTCAGATCCAGAAATTATCAACAAGAGCAACTCCAGCAGTGAAGTGGGTGATGCGACATGGGAGATGCTGTCAGACTCGGAGCAGCATGAGAACCAAAACCAGTAAACATTTTCTCTTTTTTTTTTTTTTTTTTGCCGCAATCCAATGTTTTAATGGAATCAGTCATCTTTTTTCTTTCTTTTTTTTGGGGTCAAAAAAACAGACTATTTTCAAACGCTTAAAGTATTTCTATTTTTTTTTTTTTTTTTTTTTTTTTTTGCCGCAATCCAATGTTTTAATGGAATCAGTCATCTTTTTTCTTTCTTTTTTTTGGGGTCAAAAGAACAGACTATTTTCAAACGCTTAAAGTATTTCTGTACAATATCTGTAAATGTATTGTGGACATATCAAAATCTGAATCAAAATAGTTTTGGGACCATGCTTGCTGTGATTTTAACATTGGAAGACATAAATATGATAAATAGCACATTACTTAAAAGCAAATTTTCTCCCTGTAATCATATAAACTTATTATGAGTGTGGAAGATGTTACAATTAATTTCATACTGCTGCTGGAAAGCATTAGAAAAAAAAACTCTACTTATCAAAGAGATAAAGAATTGAAAAATGTCTGTTTGACAAAATGAGCTTTACACAAATCATCTCCTAGTCTTGGTGTTCATTCTTGAGTATTAACTCCCTAACGTGAGGGCGTATTAATGATTAATTCATAATGGTGAGAGCTGGATTTGTTAAAATCTTAAGCTTGAAAACGGTGGAAAGCGTTACAAGATTTGCTGCCTGTGTAAGTGTAACTGGAGTCATTACCATTGTTGAAGAAAGTCAGTGGGTAGTGGTTGTGTGTTAGTGCCCACCAACATAGGCTGATGTCCGTCACACGTGGGTGAGCAATAATTCTGATGGATTCTCTGATGCATATGAAGTTCAACTTTTGTTTAATGCTTTATCAGTCAGATGGGATGTTTTTTAAAAAAATAGATTGAAAGTTAATGAAGGTGAAAATATGGACGCTGACTGTACCAAGTGGATAGTGTGCGTGGTGGTAACTGTGGGTGTGTGTGAGGGGCTGGTTAAATGTGTGTGGCCGCCCAAATAAGAAAAAAAACTATTGTAGTGAAGTAGTGTAGTAAAGTAGTAAGCGTACAAATAAATATGTGTCTTTAATTAATGTGTAAGGTAAATTTAAATACAATTGTATTGCTCATTCTTGTTATATATGCAAAAGGATTATGTGAGGTGTCTGGGGATTATGGGAGGTGTCCACATGATTTTGTGAGGTGTCCCAAGGATTTTGTGAGGTGTCCAAATGATTTTGTGAGGTGTCCCAAGGGTTTTGTGAGGTGTTCCAAGGATTTTGTGAGGTGTCCCAATGATTTTGTGAGGTGTCCCAATGATTTTTTGAGGTGTCCCAATGATTTTGTGAGGTGTCCCAATGATTTTGTGAGGTGTCCCAAGGATTTTGTGAGTTGTCCCAATGATTTTGTGAGGTGTCCCAAGGATTTTGTGAGGTGTCCAAATGATTTTGTGAGGTGTCCCAATGATTTTGTGAGTTGTCCCAATGATTTTGTGAGGTGTCCAAATGATTTTGTGAGGTGTCCCAATGATTTTGTGAGGTGTCCCAGGGATTTTATGAGGTGTCCCAATGATTTTGTGATGTGTCCTTTGACTATTTGATCACTCTAGTCCTGACACCCTCATGTTTTACTTTCTTTTATCTGGATGTTTAAATAGGCAGAACATATTTTACATGACAATGATGTTATTGTTTCATTATTAATTCACAGAAACAGCCATTCCGTTCTATACAGTATACAATAATAGCTTGGATAGCTCTCTCTCTCTTTTTACCTACCTTTCTCTCTCACCCTCTCTCTATCTCTACATCTCTCTCCCCCCTCCCTATCTATCTCTCTTATTTTAGAGAACTGGGCATTTCATTCCAACTGTTATACCCTATTGCTCTGTGGTAGCATTAGTTTGATTGTTTAATTGGAAATATAATGTCATTTTTTTTGCAGCTTAATGTCAATATAATGGAAACGCTGCACTAATGTAATTAATTAATCAGGCCATCAAACAGGTATTTTTTTTGTTACCATCTCAGGAAATTGCTTCCCCTTATTTGAAGTTTGGCTTCCTTGAACGGGGAATTATTTGTTCTTTACTTACATCATTGATTCCCCGACCCTTTCAAATTCAGCACCATTGATTCTCTGACTCTTTTAAACTAAGCATCATTGAATATTGATATCTAGACACAGTCAAAACTCAGGGAACTTTGAATATAAGACCAAATCGATTTGCATCAATAAAAAAAGTTTTTGACATGGGATCAAATAGTTCAATCATTCCATTTAGCACTAAATAATAAGACATATTCACTTTTTGTTGTTAACACACACAACACAAAAAAAGAAGGATTATGTTACTTTTCTTTATGTGTTTGACTAACGAACAGTTCTTTAGCTTTGTGCCGTAAATGTATTTTATTATAGTCATGTGAGTCCCCAAAGTTTTGTGATTATTTGATGTAAATGTTACATGTTGTAAATACTTTTTTTTTTTTTTATGTATTAAAATTAAACATTGTTTCATTACTTTTTTCATTTTTCTGTTGTTTTTAATTTTCATTTAAATTTCTGAATTTTGAAGTAGTTTGAGTTGTCATTTTCCTACAGTGTTCATTAATTGTTCGGACCACCTTCTCTCAGGATAGGAATCAAAGTACTAGGACAGAATTGAAGGTACATGTTTCCCTGGTAACAAAGCAAAGGTTGACATTAAGGACATCTCCCTAACAGGACGCCTTGGATATCTCCATATTAAGAAAAAAATCATGCAATCCGTCATACAAGGATGTAGTATAAAAATATTTTATCAGCCAAGGCCCAAAACATATCCAAAACTTGTCATGCATCCAGCTCTGGCCCATACCAATGGCAGCAAAAATTGATATTTAGGAGATTTCCCCAGCAACATATCAAAGGTTGTATTCACCTTTCCCCAGAGACATATGAAAGATCAACATTTACTAATTTTCACAGCAACATATCAAAGACTGACATTCACATTTCCCAAGTCAACATTTAAGGTTGTCCTCCAGAATTCCATTGTCAACATACAGTTAATCATACATTATATTTCCCCCGCGATATATCAAAGGGTGACATTCAGATTTTCCTAGCAAAACATCCTAGGTTAACTTTCAGGAGATTTTCCTAGCAAAACATCCTAGGTCAACTTTCTTGAGATTTCCTTAGCAAAACATCCTAGGTCAACTTTCACTTTCATGAGATTTTCCTAGAAAATCATCCTAGGTCAACTTTCATGAGATTTTCCTAGCAAAACATTCTAGGTCAACTTTCATGAGATTTCCATAGCAAAACATCCTAGGTCAACTTTCATGAGATTTTCCTAGAAAATCATTATAGGTCAACTTTCATGAGATTTTCCTAGCAAAACATCCTTGGTCAACTTTCATCAGATTTTTCTAGCAAAACATTCTAGGTTAACTTTCAGGAGATTTTTCTAACTAAACATTCTTGGTCAACTTTCATCAGATTTTTCTAGCAAAACATCCTAGGTTAACTTTCATGAGATTTTCCTAGCAAAACATTCTAGGTCAACTTTCATGAGACTTTCCTAGCAAAACATTCTAAGTCAACTTTCATGAGATTTCCTTAGCAAAACATCCAAGGTTAACTTTCAGGAGATTTTCCTAGCGTAGCCACATTCCTACCATTGTCAACAAAAGACTAACACCCAAACTAAGCGACAATAAGTGATTTAAAGACACGTTCCACGCAAGGTCATATTACAGTACCCTGTTGAGATTGTCAGATATTAGTGGCCTCCATTCAGTGGCGTACATTAAATTAAAATGAGGCAGTTGCAAATCGACTGTCTGTTGATGGGGCAGTTATGACAGGGAAAAAAAAATTAAAGAAATTGTCGACGTGTCATGTGAAAGCCAGAAAATACACACACAAAAACAGATAATGAGTTGGCTAGGCAACTTTCTTAAACTTTAATGAAGATATAACGAAATGTTACTCCGATCTAACTCTATATTCTAGCAGCTCTCTCTCTCTCTCTCTCTATCTCTCTCGTAACATCTCCATTTGTTTTTTTCCATTGCTGCTCTGCCACTGCACGTATTTGTTCAAGTGAGTTTCGATGAGGGTTTCTCGTGTCCTCGAGGTTTTTTTTATTCCAGTGGAAACGGGATGAAAGGGACCTCTCCCCCCCCCCTCCCATCCCGGGAAGCAAAATATGAACTTTGAAAGAGTTTTTTATTTATTTTTAAATAATGACTTTTATTTTTTTTAATGTCTTTTTAACGGTAAATTCCAATCGCCATATTAAGTTTATTATTAAGGGAAAAAAATAGGGGCCGTCCATTAATTGTGTCAACAAGATGGTAACCCAAAAAAAAGGGGGGAGGGGGAAATGTTTGATAGTTTTTGACAAGGGGGGGGGGGGGGGGGGGGGGTTAGATTAGTTGACGCCAACAATAATTGTTTTCTCTATTAAATTAAAATTGAATGGTTATTACATTATTTTAAAAACTTTAATGGGTATAAAGAGTCATATAATTTATAAGAGTCATGTGCAGTCAAGATAAATGATATTGATAGAGTAGGAATTCGATATTTTGAGAATTAGGGGAAAGTAAAGTGAGTAACAATAATAATATCGCTGCTTGAACGGATTTGCAAAATCTGTGACATCTATTATGCATCACAAGTCATATTGAAAAAGCATGTTCAACAGAACCGACAATGCTCTCTTCAGCATAAGAAATTACCACCTGCTACTCAACAAAAAAATATTCGACCAATTAGCTGCCAGGAGACAGAGAGAGCGTATGGAAATTATTGCTCACACTGACAATGTTTCTATTTATTGTAACTGACTTGGCCCATCAGGGGCGTCATTTCTGGTGGTTTTCAGGGGGGGGGGTCTAAACCAAAACTTGGTCGGCTTGTTAAGTTGTTTATTACTTGAGGCGCCACAGTACATATCAAATTAAATACAACCTGCAAATTCGGGGGGGGGGGGCGCAAATGCCCTTGTTACGATAGAGCAACACCTGGCTAGTCCCTGGGAAGATGATGGCAGCTAGACACTACAGGGTGGGCCAATAAAAGTGAGAACATCTCGTAAAATATTACGCTACGAAATGTTCTCACTTTTATTGGCCCACCCTGTATAACTATAGGCTACTATAATTGGCAACTTTACTGACAATAGTGATATTTATACTTCCACAAACAATGATCTTTAGTCTTTGACAACCTTTTAATTGATTCTGCAATGTAAAATTTAAGTTTAAAAACTCTTTAAGTTGTTTAATTAGCAAGCTAAACATGTAATGAAAATGAAATGTTTTTCCTACAATTTTTTGTTATTAAAATAGATCAGCGCAAAGTAACATTTATTTATAAATGTATTTATATTATAATTCAATGTATTGTTTAATAATTTTTTTGGTGGAGGGAATTAAATGGGGGGGGGGTGACTAAAGTTTGACAGTTGTTGAGAAGGGGTGGAGGGGGTAAAAAATTGTGTAAATAGTGTAATCAGAAAATAAATATAGGTTATCAAATTATAGATTTTTAAAATGAATTATAACCTAATATTTTTTTTTTTAAGTAATAAGCTGCCTATATTTTTATATTATATAGGCTTTATACTAAACCTTTTAGTTTTAGTACAATATTTTCACTAGGTACTTTGACACAGACTTTTAATATTGCTGATCAGTGCCTTCCATAAAAGATATAAGATATATTATTTTAAAGGGCTTGCTATAACCTTTTAAAAATTATCAATTTCATCCTTCTATCCTTCATAGAAGTGGAGTTATGATTTTAAAAAAACAAAATCAACTTTTTAAGCGCCTTAACTAATGTATATATTTTGCCCCCCCCCCTCCCCCGAAACTTGTGACCCACTTTTCACATTTCAGCACATTTCTTTTTCAACATTTAAACATGTTCATTTGATTTCAAAGTATTTATAATTTTTAAACATTTACACATATTTGTTTTATTTTTAAGTATATATATATATATATATATATATATATATATATATATATATATATATATATACTTAAAGTTTTTTATTATTTTAATCAACTAATATTTATACTTACTGTCTTACTGTACAGGAAACATGTCAAACAGTGAACTGAGAAGAATTGAATGGGGGGGGGGGTTGAACGCATATAAACAAATTGTGTTAAGTGTATTTTAATTGATTATAATATTCATAACTAATAACATGCATTAAACCAATGTTAGTGGTGTTAGATGAAGTAAATTCTTTTAAAAAATGTTAATGCATGAAACTATTATTTCAAAATAGGTAAAATCTACCTTAAAAATTAAAACTAAAATTCACACTAAGAGTATCTGTTTAATGCTGGAGCAGTGGACCAGCTCATTATTTATCTTGTACATCATGGAGAGCCTGGATAATCGTCTTCTTTCCCGAATGGTGACCAGCTCAGTGTTTCCAGCATGCTGCCAACACTAAAGGTGTTCCTGTTGCGTTCAGGACAAAGCATGCTGCTTCCAACCTGTCGATTTTCTTGTAGGTGAATGGGTCCCAGACTGAAGACGCGTATTCTAAAAGCGGCCGGCTTTATAGCAGGGATCTCAAACTTGCGGCCCGCCCCTGCCCATGCCTACTGTAATAAGTTTTTAACATTGAAAGCCTTCATGAAGAAGGATGTGGTGGTTGTTCCTGTACTAAGTGATCCCAAATGGCTCACGGATTTGGCTTTTCTTGTTGACATTACACAGGAGCTGAATGTACTGAACAAGACGTTACAAGACCAGGGGTAGCTTGTCAGCGTTGCCTATGACAATGTCAGGGCATTCTGCACAAAACTTGTGGTATGATTTAGAGACCGACCGAATTTCGGCTTAGGCTTCGGTTGCGGCGCCGAAAGTGGCCATTTTATCACTTTCGGCGAAGTTTTGGTTTCGGCTGAAAATGAAAGCTAACTTTCGGCTTAATTTCGGTTTCGGCCGAAAGAGAAAAGTTAAATTTCGGGTTTTTTCGGTTTCAGCCGAAATTGACAAAGACTTTTGGCCATCCAGCCGAAAGTGACTGTGGTTTTCGGTCATCTAATACTCAGCGAAAGCGATATTTAACAAAAAACTAAGCGACATTTAAGAACAAACTAAACGATCTTTAAGAACAAATTAAGCGATCTTTAAGAACAAACTAAACGATCTTTAAAAACAAATAAAGTGATCTTTAAAACAAACTAAGCGATCTTTAAGAACAATCTAAGCGATCTTTAAGAACGAACTAAATAATCTTTAAGAACAAAACAAATGATCTTTAATAGTAAACTAAATGATTTATAAGAATAAACTAAGCGATCTTTAACAGAAAACTAATTGTTCTTTAGGAATAAACTAAAAGATCTTAAGGAACAAAATAAATTATCTATAAGAACAAACTAAGCAATCATTATGAAAAAACTAATCGATCTTCAACAACAAAATAATCGATCTTTAAGAACAAACTAAACGATTTTTAATAACAAACTAAAAGATCTATAAAAACAAACTAAATGATCTT